GCCCCGCGCCCTCCCCGCCCGGGCCTGCCCAAGCCCGGGGCACCGTGCCCCGCTCCGCCCTGGACTCCGCCTCTGGCCGCCCTCCCGGGATCACCCAGCCCGCCCCGCCCTGCCCCCCTGCCCGCCGGCCACTGAGGCTCCCTCATTCGTCCCGTGGTTCCCATCGAGGAGCAGCCTGGTGGCCTGCGCTCTTGCTCTGCCTCGCACAGTGCAGGCTCGGTGGCCAGCCCGGCACCACGGTTCCCCAAGGGCGCGCGGGCAGCCCTAAGACCCACCCATTATGCCACACAAAGGGCCATTGAACAGCTACTGAGTGACCAGTGGTGACCTGGCTAGGCCACCTGGTTGGTGGCCTTGGACCATAGATCCCCATGAGTCAGGACTGAGGGAACTTGGAGCCCCACCCCATGATGCAGAAGGGAACCAGGTCCGGTTTCTGGGCTGGAGTTGGGGGTGTTCCTGGAGCTGTGTGTCATCTAGGGCCTTTGGGGACCCAGCCAGCAGTGACTATCAGGCGATTGTGTGTGCCCACACGCTCAGCTTTGCAGAACCACCCAAGCAAGTTGGTGATCATTGGAACACTTGTCCCTCTGGTGGGAGGAGGGGATTGCCCTGGGCTGGAGGCCTCCAGTACACACACACACACACACACACACACACACACACACACACACACACACACAGACACTCAGAGCTTATTCCCAATGACAAATGCACCTTGCTTTCTTTCTGGAGAAGTCTGCCTGGCACTTGGGGGTAGCACCTCATCATGGCTGTAGTTTGTGAAGTGCTCAGGCCTACCCTGTGTACCCTGTGTGCCCAGCATTGGGGGGGGGCATCCCTGTGCCCCAGTTTTTCTCAGACACCAAGGTAATAGTTCACTAAATTTTGTAACATCCACCTTCAGAACTATGCCAAACTTTCAAGGCAGAGCCAAAAGCTTGTGCTGAAGTGTGGAGAGGCAAATCCCCTGTCCGTGGTGGGCTAATTGTGCTGTCCCCCCCCCAAATAATATTAATCTGCCGTTTTCATCATATTAATGATGTGAGCACCTTGTGATCAGACCTATCAGAGGTATTGCTCCTTGTTGGGTTTCAGTCCATCCCTCAGCCACACTTTTGTCGACTGGAGCAGCCTGAGACTGTCCACCTTGAGACTATCCCAGCTCCAGGCCTTGAACACTGGGCTCCTCTGTGCTCAGGAAGCTGCTTGGGAGGCCTGCTGCAGGATTTTCTGGATTTTCTGCCTTAGGGAAGGAGATGGAGAGATGCTCAGAGAAGATGCTGGGGGAGGCGGTTGTGGTACTTCTAGGAGCCGGCCAGGAGGACTGGGTCCTGAGACCTGCGTGCAGCCCAGTCCTCATGGCCTGCAGCCCTTAGAGCAGCACGTGTTGGTCCCTTTTACTTTTTTTTTTT